CTCTATATTTTGAATACTCATTGATATTGATTAACAGTGCATTTGTTATTTAAAACTTATCTGGTTAATTTTGCATTTCCAATAATGGCTTTGCGTATTAGAGGTCATTTTCTTACAGGTGGTGACGGTTTCAAAATTAGAGGACGAGCTTAGTGTTAGGAGATAGGTGATCAGTTGGTAATTTAACAGAAAATATTTCCTGTAAAAAAAACGCCGCAACATATTTAGCTTATGACTGGTTTGTATTACCAAACTTAAAAAGTAACTTATTCTTAAATATGACCTACCATCTTCCATGTATTTCTTTTATGGTAAGACACATAAACATAACCATAACCATAATAGCCTACAGGTACAGAAACTGGTCTACAACTGGTGTAACAATATCTACGAAGTTATTTACATTTCAGAAACAGAATTAAAATAATAAAAAGGCACTGTAGAGTACATTAGAAATTTGGAAAGTATAAAATTCATGAACCAGTGTATTATATAATTTGGTGTAGGCCTACCATATAGACTTTCTTTAACTTGTGTTCTTACCAGTATTGTTATTATTAATAATAATATTATTATTAATTTTTAATATTATTTTATTTTATTTATTTGTATTCATTTTTTTTTAAATATATTTTATTATTTTTATTATTCTGCTGTTTGGGCTGGGCAAGTTATTGCAGATAAATTCCATCATCGGGGAGTTTATGCTTCAGTTTTAGATTAGCTAGCAACACCCCCCCCCCCTCCTCACTAGCTTTTTTTTGGATTGTCAATAATCGATGCATACGTACGTACGACGATAGAGCATGACACCGTCGCTATCTACGTAATGGTCAACCAAAAACCTCTTCAGCGTACGGCACCGTACCTCTCGACACATTGCGAATTATCTTAGCCCCTACTACTTGGCTATTAGAAGGACCTTGCTAGGCCACTAGCTAGCCTTCTCTAGGTCTAGGCTAGTTTTATGTCGTCAGTTTCTCTGGTTATTTTTTATCGGAATGTCAATGCAAGTACGAGCGACGATAGAGCTAAATAGACTGTTGTTTCCGATAATTTAATTGGAATTCTCCCTGACGGAATAATATGATGAACTGATAGCCAAAATAGAAGCTTTTCGACCGGAATTCTCATTGTTTTCCATTTTCATAGCCTGGTCGCTTTAGCTTGAGTTGCGCATGCTCAATGGTTGCATAAAAAAGTTCGATTTTTCTCCTTTCGATTTTACACCCTCTTCGCAGACGCCGTTTGTTATTTGGTTATGCTCAATGATTTCACGAGACATCGTTTTGGTAACTGCACCTGCTCGACAACGTCACTTACTTAGTACGCATGCTCACACTGTCTTTGCAAGCGCATACTCACTGTGTTTTTTCATTCGTTCGTAGTAAAAGCTACAGCTTATCTACAGTTTCTTAATGATTGTTCTTGTTCGTAGCAGCCAAAGGTGCAGCGCGAAAAACTGGTCTTGCATTAGAGAGGCCACAGAATTGGAGGGTGAACTGTATACTGTATTGATAGTATAGAACGTTTATTAATGTAATCAAAAAAATAATCAAATAGCAATAATAGTGTGTTTTAATCAAATCACTTCTTTCCAAGCGGATGAATTTATTGTTAAAATGAGTATGTTCGGTGGTAGACCCACTACATCGAAAGCAATAAAACGGTGGAACAAATTCATTTAGTTTCACTTTTATTTTATTAACAGTACTGAACGAAGTGTACTACGGATCTCGAAAACTAGAACCCTCGATGTCTTGGCCCACGACATAAGCCTATGGCCCATCTTTTTGACACCATGGCCGAGTGTTGCTACAAGGCTCGATTGTAATATACTTGATTCTATATAAATATTATACAATTGCAGTTAAATAAAAAAAATTGTATTTAACTACCAGTACATAATAATAATATTTATTTTAAGCCTTATTACCTGAGGCCAATAATTGACACTGACAATATGAAACAATCTCCAACATCAATCTACACAGAGTACAAGTATAAGTAGTAGAGATGTAGCTTGGTGGTTAAGATGCTTGTTTTCCGATCCCAAGGTCCTGGGTTCAAATCCTGTGACAACACAGGATTTTTTCTCACGACACATTCCACTTCATAAGCCTCTTGAGACGTCGCTGATAAAGAATCATGTTATTTCATTTAGTTATGAAGACCCTGAATTTATGAAAGCCCTGAATATCAGCCGACATTATAGGATACGCTGAATATTGTTTAAAAAATAAATAGGAAAAGGGTACATAGCTCACTGCTAGAAAAACGTATCCAAATATATTTCATTTTTTCCCGACTATTATAGCGATTTAATATGTAAATAAATCGGTACATAAACGTTAAGATAGGCTAGACCCGGGCCTAGGCCTATTTAAAAAGTAACTGAAATATTTCATTCTTTTCCACTATGTTTATCCGTTGATCCCATAACCAGGAACCTATGAAGTTTCCCAATTCTTCCTCAGGTAAGTAAACCGGGCATTGTGGTCAATGGCCACAACTGCCATGTCATCTCACAAAATGTTTTACTGTGTATATTAACCGTACAACGTATAAATCGGACACACATCCCTGTAGTTGAAGGGATTTGACAAACGGTTTAAAATGCTGTGGAATTCAATGGATCTTTGTAAATTTGGGTAAATCAATGAAAAAGAGACAGAAAAATCATAGTAATAAATAAATTACCGTAAAACTTTGAATTGAAGCCCTGGGCTTCTCCCTTTTTTTTTTGCGAACTTTGAATGGGCTTCTTATCGAGATGGGCTACTTCTCGAGATGGGCTTCTTTTCGAGACTACTTTTGCAAAGTAAAGAGGACGGGACCTCTTTTCAAAATGAATGCTGCAAGTTTTGTGAATTTGTACGATTTAAACAATAAATAAGGTCAATGTAACATCAATCTGTATTATGGAGTGTATTTAACTGGCATCATCGAAACTAATGTATAAACCAAGCTTGTTTTTAATTTATTTTGTTTTCTGAAAGTCATGCACAGTGTATGTACTGTACTGTACTATCTCGAAAAGAAGCCTATGCTATTTTGAAAAGAAGTACATAGGCTTCTTTTCGCGATGGGCTTCTTTTCGAGCCTAATTTTGCAAACTAAAGAGGGCCTTCAATTCGAGATGGGCTTCATCTCGAGATTGAGCCCACTGGGCTCCAATTCGAGATTTTACGGTATTTAGCAATAAAGTAATAATAGTTAATAATAATATTTATATATAATAGTATAAATCAATTGTTAGACATAACCTAAATATACTTTTTATAGGTTAAAATATGTAGATTTGTAGGTTAGTTCATTAACATTCGCTCATTAGGCCTACAGTAATTAGCATTCATACACAAGTGTTTTCATAATGAAATCGATGCGTCACTTTAAATAATCGTTATTCCGGCATTTAACTTTCACTTAAAACTCCTTCCTCATTAGGACTGAAATTGATATAACAATCTTCAACCATAGTAACAGAACCATCAAAGGCAATCGACAGGCAAACAGCACTCTGACAATGTATACTGTATACATTTTTTCCGAAATAAAGTTGATGGATCTATTGACCTATTTAATATTACATCACTAATTGTTGTTCTGTATTACTTCTAGACAGGATGACGTGAAATATTTGACTGCAGTCTTGCTCGTGTCCATTAGCCTACAGCTTCGGAATCATTGGACAATGATGTTTCCGATAGAAAATATTTCCATTATAATATAGTAGGACTATTAAGTACACGTTAAGTATAATAAACCCGCTAAAGATAATATTGCCCAAAATCATCTGTTTTTGTTTATTAGTTTCAGTTCTTCTGTACATCTGTTCTTTTTCTTTTTTCTTATATGGTAAGGCAGCAGTCGAGAGTACAATGGTACACATAATATAAGAATAGTTGTAATGAATATAGAGAGCGAACCGAATGCCCAGCGTACCCCGTGTTGTACGTACACAGCAGTTCCGAACAGAGGACCTATAGTCTTTCCAATACTGCCTACCCCGGTGAAGAAGCCCATATAGAGGCCCTGAGGAAAGACAAAGAAAGTTAAATTGTTGGCGGTAGAATACATAGCTGTATTTCGCTTGATCAAGGCACTTTACCTACGTTTGTTTCTTTTTTAATAATAATTCTTTATTTGTCCTCATTCAAATTGAAAATCGGAAATTCGGGCTGTGTCCCTGGGAACCCGCGGCAGCCACATTACAGCGCCACCTAACTTAACTAAAACACATAACGGACACATGACGGATGCAAACATTGTTGTTACTCCGCCTAACCCTCAAAATAATTTTTATTCGAGGAGCCAAGCGATCAGACTCCAATTAAAACAATGGTTAGTTTGAACCGGGGTCTTCAGCATAAGAAGCATGTACAATATCCTCTCAGCTGACCGCTCAGCTCGTATGCGCCACCCAGTAGTATGTGGGTACCTGGTAGGATGACGTGACATTGAATCCGTTGATTGAACGTATTGCTCAGTTATCAGTATGTCTATTTAATATAAATTAATTAAGTATAAATATCATGATTGCATGTATATGGAAAACAAAGGCAGGAAAGACACGTAAACCGGACCTAGCACAAGTTAGGCCTATGTACCAGTCTTGGGGAAATTAGGTGTCATCTTGAATAGTAGTTCTGTACGATAGTCGCGTGTTTTAGTATTGGTGGGTGTAACTTTTGGGCTGTGAATTTTATAGCCTATAAATAAGGTTACACGTTTAAACATATATAAGGCCTAAGTGTGTGTATAACATAGGGACACTTGTGGACTCACACATACGTCATTGCAAATTAAATATTTGCAGGAGTGTTAAATGCTCACCTGAGGCCGTGGTCCAAGAATTTTAGTATACATTGTGTAAAGTATAACTTGAGAAATTGAGTAGCCTATAGCAAACATGGACATGGCGAGGTAAAAGAAGGGAAGAATCATGTTAGGCGTGTCATTGCACCAATTGTAACGCCACGGGCAGCCTCCGCCGTCTTCATTGTCTGTTACTGAAGAGAGAAAAATAAACATGGCAAAAGCGTATATTTATTTAATTGAAAAATATAGAATAACCTTCTCAGTACTTCCCTTCCTCCGCAACAACACCTACACCCCCCCCCCCCACACACACACAAACCTACATTAAGATTTCAAAGGAGTTTACTATAAATACAATCTGAGAAGACGTTAATTGATTGACCTTTTAAAGAACAATAAAATAACTTTTCAACTTTCAATGCGAAACTGATCAAAACAATTGTATTTCTTGATGAATAGGCCTATAGATTTTTTACTGCAAAATATGAATTGTCTGTCAGCCAATGTAAACGTAATTTGGTGATATTATGGACATGACTCACACCATCATGTCTATATATGAGTAATTAACATAAACGTCCTTCATAAAACCCGTATACCTAAACCAGGGCGTAACTAGGATATTTTGCGGGTGGCAAGAATAGAAATTCGACCCTTTTCCAACTTGTCGTCCTTATTCTGAGGTTCTTATGGGTTTTAATTGCTAAAAGAAAAGAAAAAAAGTATCAATGTTTGGGAATTTAAATTCATATATAATAGGCGCCTTTGATGGCATAATTAATGCCGAAATATTTAATCCCAACACGATGACGTGCATTTCGGCACTTGGAGTATGTAGTATACTTTCTGTACCTTTGAAAATTCGCCTCTGCTTGCCTACATCATTTTTTCCCATGAGAAATCGATAATAATAATAATAATAATAATAATAATAATAATAATAATAATAATAATTTATTGGGAAACTACACTTTTGAAACAGTGGCACACTTCACATGATAAAGGTGCGTCCAAAAAAATAATACTTCAAACAGAATACAATACACTGATGAAAACAAAGTATAAATTTATAAATTGAGTAACCGTCACTCAAGCATTTGACGAGCACCCCACCCCCATCCCTTACCTGTACCCTCATCAAAGTATTATATGGAATGATGCCTCTCAATAGTCATGTCAATCCCCTGAGGGACCCTTATTCAATTAAAAGTAAATAAAATAAATAATACGAAGTAAACAAAACTTGAAACTAAAAATTCAAAAGTAGTAAAATACGACAAAGGAAAATCAATCATTTAAAAAACCCCTTATTAGCAGAAACGATATGTGGCAAAGACAAGCCAAACCAGTCACTCGTCGCAAATCCTGTTTTGGAGATAATGGCCAAAACATGCTGGAATATCAAAATTTTGTAAATCTATTTTATTGCACTGAACTAACCTTTATATATCTATACATCATGCTATGCTGTTATTTTCCTCATTTTCAATGTTAAAACAACAATTTTTAACGATTTGGTGATGGTTTCTGCCTATGAAATGCCTGAAATCGTAAACTTTGAAGGCTGATTTCTCAAATATTGTTCTTTAAACAGCTGTATGTTTAAACACGTGTAACTTCATAACGAAGTGTCGGATTTAAATAATTCTTTTACCATTTTATAGTTCCCATTTTACTGTTAAACCCTGTAATAATAACTAAAAATTTATTTTTTCGACGAGTAACTGGTTTGGCTTGTCTTTGCCACATATTCTAAGTACCCATATTCACTCCCCAAACTATGCATTTACCCCCTCCCCTAAACCTAAGCAACAGATATCAAATATAGTAATGCAGGAAAGAAAAACAATTAAATGAAATTGAAAACAGAGGTGAACAGTATAGCAGTACTATAAAGCATAGGTAGAGCATGGAATTCAAAATCTCGTTGCGGAATTTCCATGCTCTTTTGGTATATATTTTGCAAAACTTTCATACTTTCCGCTAAGGAGCAACGATGAACAACTCAAAATATGATGTAGTTTTAGGTCATCGTTTGCATTAATAAATTCATTATACAATTCTATATTGTCAAGTAATTCTATTTTTAATTTAGAAATTTCATCTATACGTATATTTTGTGGGGCTGGGCAGACTAAGAGGAAATGTCCAGTATTCTCGTCTGCATTTAGATTGCACAGGGCACATTTTTCATTATTATTTGTGGACGAATTTGATGTTCTGGAATTTAATGGTAGCGTATTTGATCTTAGTTTAAATTTCAATGCAACCCTCTCAAAGTTCGTTTTATCAATAAGGTAATGTTGTAATACAGGATGGGGTGTTAAGGATGCATAAACTGAGAGGGATGATTTGTTTTAAATATCATCTCTCCATTGATTAATCCAAATTTCATCCAATTTTCTTAAAATAAGCGTTTGAGAATAACAACATCCCTTGTTATTAAGCAGTACATTGAAAATATCTTCTCGCTTCTTATCAAAACATCATTTATACAATATAGAAATTTATATCTTCAATCTTTAAAATCACAATTGAGTTGTAACATAGCAAGAAGTAGAAATTTGGGCCAACGATGTGTGCTCATTTCAATTATCCTGCTGAAGAATTTCACACGGGCAATTTTATGTAGCTCATTGATGGGAGACCATCAGAGTTCCCCATACCATGCGGTGTGTTCCTAGGTGCTTTAAGTATATAACGCGCCATTTGAAGTTATAAGCGTTCCAATTTTGTTTAAGATTGCTTAAAGTACACCATAGAGAACAGCCGTAATTTAAGGAAGGAAGGAAGGGCAACTGACCGCCACAGAATATCTCCATAGTAAACTCTGTTAAAATTGTCAAAGTTACTAATAATTGATTTTATATATGCAATTAATCTTTGACCTTTTTGGATGACATTATCAAATTGCATATGGTCATTTAATTTCCGTGATATAATTACACCCAGATATTTGTAAGATTCTGCCTCTGTGATATAACCCTCCCCTAATTTCCATTTCTTTTCTTTATTAACACGTTTTCCCATAACCAAAAAATTCGACTTGTCAAAGTTAAAATTTAACTTCCATTCTTGTGCAAATTTACGTGCAATGTCTAGAATTTTTTCCATCTCGTTTTCAGTGTTAGCTAAAAGCACAACATCGTCAGCCCAAAATAGGCTACCAACCCATACATCATTGATTCTGGTGCCAAGATCATTTGACTTTAGTATTTTCGTAAATTCATTAATAAATATACTAAAAAGTACAGGGGATAATACACATCCCTGTTTCACCCCTTGATCAATATCAAAAAAGTCTGTGTCAATTGATCCAAAACAAACCTTTCCCTTAACATTTTCATATAATTTATCGATAACTCTCCAGACCTTACCCCTAATACTTGATCTCCAAATTGCTTTCATTAAACCATCCCTCCAAACACTATCAAAAGCTTTCCGAAAGTCCCGAAGGCAATATAGGTGTTTTTTTTCTTTTGCTGGAGACGGCAAGCAGCTATACTTTTCAGAGTAAAATGTGGTCCTCACACCTATGTAAAGGTCGAAAGCCTCCCTGGACTTCCAAAGGACATCATTATTTTTCAAGATAAGTTGAAATATTTTTGGCAAGAATTCTATTAAAGGTCTTGACACGCAAGAAGTCAAAGATATGCCTCTATAGTTATTAAGATCTTTGCATTCTCCTTTCTTGTGAATAGGGATAATAAATCGATATAAAAGTATATGCATGAACACGAACATACAAGTTCTATCCGTTCGTCAACATTTGTTGTTCTACTCTTTAATTACAAGCTATTTATATATATATATATATATATATATATATATATATATATATATAGATTAAAAGGCAAAATACTGAAAAA